GTCAATATGTAGGAAGTGATTTGTTTTATTGCCACGTAAATATGATAAAAAATGAATAACAATTGCCATAATAATGTGTTTTTCGTATATATTTTTAATTAAAAACAAAAAATAAGTTTACTGCATAAATACATCCAAAAGCCTTCTTTCTCTATCCTTTCTTTTTCTGAGAAGATTTGGTTTCAGATTAAGATTCTGTTACTCTATCGCGCTTCTTCAGTTTTTAAATATTTGATATCACTGCATCGCTGGGTTACTTACTATATTTTTGTTCACCTTTGATCACGAGATAAATTAAAGATTGAAATTTCAATTATATAACTTGAGTTGATAGCGTTGTATGAAATTACGCACACTTAACCCTAGAACTACATCGCCTCTAATGCTTATTAAGTACTCGTATATATTATTTTTCAACAATTTTAACGTAATTAAGTTATATTATATTCGAAAAACGGAGGAAAGCGGCAATTAGTATCTTTACCTTCCCATTTACAACTCAAAGCATGAACTGCCATGACAATTAAGTCTCTTTAATTACCGCGCTAATTACAAGCTTTCTTGTTTAAAACTTCATAATTTCTAGACATTTATCTTTCAAAGAAAATACAGAGTTTTATACAGACTAAAGTGCATTCACTTGACATACATAGTTAGATAATGATTTCTTAAATTTACGCGAACACTACACATTGAATAAAACTAAATTTACGGATTCTATCGCGTTTATTTAACTGATTTTACTTATTTTTAATTCCCGACGTTTCGGGTGCTTTACAGCAACCAGGGTCACGGGGGGGGGAGGGACTGAGATGTTTGACGTCCCAATGTCATTGTCCAATGCCCGGCTACCTTCAGTTTTTGAATATTAATTTTTGATCCGATTTACGCAAAACTTACAGTATCTTGAAGTCTTGCAGTGGTATGCTTGGGTTTGGGTTTAATTTTGTTAATTATAGGATCTCAAGCAGATGGCAGCACCCAACCATCTTTTCTATTGAAATTAGGATGTTTTTTAATTTCAATAGCCTCGCGTATCATCCTTGGTAGGAATCGGTGTTCTTTTGCGAGTATTTGTGGTTTATCAAATCTGATGTAATAGTGGGGACGATCTAGAACATGTTCACAGACTGCAGACTTCCCGGAGCGTTGGTGCTTCACGTCAGCTATATGTTCTTTCACACGGGTTTTTATGGTTCTTTTTGTTTGACCTATGTAAGAGAGACGACATTCACAATCTAACTTGTACACTCCTGCATCTTGTAGAGGGATATTACACTTGACGGATGGTAAAAATTGACTATTATTCTTCGGCGGTTTGTAGTATGTTTTAATGGAAGCTCGTTTTAAGATGTAGCCAAACTTGTCTGTGACTCCTCTGACATATGGCAGTACAGCAGGCACACGCTCGACTGTGGCCGGTTTCACTCGGTCACTGTGACGTAGGCGCGGGATCTGAAGCTTGTTGTCTTGCAAAACTTGCTTCACATGCTGCAGCTCGGCGGCCAGATGTTTTCTGTCACAGATCCCTCGTGCTCTCTGAAACAAAGATTTACCCACGGTAGCTAACTGTGAAAGATGATGGTGAGATTCACCATTTAAATATCGGTTGGTATGGGTCTTTTTTCTATACACAGTGTGACCAATAGTGTTATCAGGATTTCGAATGACTAAAACATCTAGGAAAGCTAAAGAATTATTTGCCTCTAACTCCATTGTGAATTGTACTTTAGAGTTTATAGAGTAAATCACCTTAACTCTGTATATATATATATATATATGTATTTTTTATTTAAAAGGTACACGAACAGTATATGTATACATAATATTGTAAGTTACATTTTTATGGTATAATTTCTTATACATATACCTATTATAGTTGTACACAACATTGACAGATGATATTTAATATTAAGTAACAACATTATATATATATATATATATATATATATATATATATATATCTGAAAATTTTAAAACAATAAAATAGTAAAATTCACCAAAAAAAATACTAAAAACTTAACTAAGAACAATTGCCTCTTCACAAAGGGCCGACCAGTTTTCGTTTAAATTTAATCAACGAGTCGTGGAAAATGTCAAATGTTTCGATATTCATCTCGTTGTACTGTGCGCAACATCTGACGAGAGGAGAATGGCGTCCAAGGTTAGTCCTCACAGAAGGCAAGGCAAACGTTTTTTTGATAGGATGTCGGGGTATGCGAGCAGGCACCGTCAATTTAACACGTTCTAGGAGCTCATTACATTTTATTTTGCCGTTGACAAGTCCGTGCAAAAACACCAACTCCTGATTACTTCGACGGCTACGCAACGATTTCATTTTAAAAAAGACAAGACGATGCTCATATGGTGACCGGTGTGACACGCTCTGCGTAATAAATGCCATATGCCTAGTGAATCTACGCTGAATACCCTCCAAGCGTTGAGAGTGAACAACATATACAGGGTTCCATGCCACGCTAGCGTACTCCAAGTTACTTCGGACCAAAGCATTATATAATATTTTTCGGGTGTTATTTAAACGGAAACCCGCAGTACTTCGCCTAAGAAAACCAAGCATTTTCGAGGATTTATGCACAATATTGTTAATATGTGAAGTGAATTTAAGGTGCTTGTCTACTGTTACACCTAAATCTCTTATTTCTTCTACTTCAGTTAATGTTGAGCCGTTAATTTCATAAATTGATGGGAAATGATTTTTCTTTTTTTGTGAATTTGATATGGTAGCATTTATCAACGTTTAGGGTCATATCATTTGATTCACACCATGTGTGAATACGGTCTAAATCCTCCTGGATAAGTTTTATGTCATGGGAAGAATTGATTGCTCTGTAAATTTTTAAATCATCTGCAAATAAGCTGAATTTACAGTTTTTTATGTGCATCGCTATATCGTCAATAAAGATAAGAAATAGGAGTGGGCCTAAGTGACATCCCTGTAGGACTCCTGACGATGCAAAATATATATCTGACTCAAAACCCCCAACTGCAACAACCTGGGGTCTCATACTAAGGTAAGATCTAAACCATTGAACCACCACAAACCGGTGAAGCAAACTACCATGTATCTCTTTCATTTGCAATTTTGTTAAAAGTAGTGCGTGATTTACTTTGTCAAAAGCACTGGTAATATCAATTTGACTTCCACTATCAACCTCCAGTGCAATTTCTGAAATAAATGAGACCAAATTAGTCTGTGTTGAGCGGCCCCTGCGGAACCCATACTGGTACTCAGTTAGTGAAGTATCTATGTGGCTAATAATTAGTGGATTAATCAGAGCCTCGAACAATTTCGAAAATGTGGATAAAATGGAAATCGGCCGGTACTTTTTAACGTTGCTTGTTTCACCTTTTTTTGTATACAGGTACTATTTTTGGGGAACACACCATCTCTGAGCGAACAATTGATCTGTTAATGGTTGAGACAAAAGTGATCCACAGATCGTAATAAATAGAGGAGGTATTTTATCAGGACCGGCTCCTTTCTGTATGTATAATCGTTTAATTACTCTTAAGGTATCATTTTCAGAAAATTGAATATTCGATAAAATAAGTGGTGATAAATCCTCGAAGATGTGATTTGTTTTTTCAAAATTTGAACTGAACGTGGAAGCAAAATGTCTGGCGAAAAGAGTGGCTACTTCGGAACCAGATTCTGCAATGAAATCGTTTAATTGCATTTTTGACGGAAGAGTTGACTGGTTGCTACTTTTGTCTTTTATGTATTGCCAAAAAGATTTGACATTACGCGATATTCCATTCTCAATATTTGTCTTATAGTCACTATAGCACTTGTCAATAAGCTTGTGACAGCGGCTCCGTAAGAGGTCATGTTCAAATTTGTCACGTAGATTACCATATTTCCGATATCTGTTGCGTAGTTTATTTTTCTCAGATAGAAGTTTAATTAGGGTGCGGCTAAACCATTTGGGGTATTTACTCTTGGAAGGACGGCGCTTGGGGACAGATCTATCAATAATTAATCTTAGCTCATCATAGAATTTTGTAACCATTTCATTGACGTTGCTACAGCTCGAAAACCTCTACACCCAATCTATACACACCAGGTCCGAGGCAATTTCCTCGTAATTTGCCCTATAGAAATTGTGGTCAGTTCGTTTCTTAGGCTGGAGATAAGTAAAATTTGTTTTTTGCAACGTTACTAAAAGATTATGATGTTTACAGTCCAGCCTACTCAAGAGTTCTAGAGGCTCCGAGACATCAACACCGGGAAAGTTGCTCATAATGAGATCTAAGTATCTGCCGTCACTGTTTGGTATGTTGTTAAATTGACTAAAGTTGTTAAGAGACATGAAATCAATAAGACCGCATCCGAGGGTACTATTGTAATTAGATGGAACCATTTGAGCAATATGATCATGATATCTACTCCAGTTAATGAATCCTAGATTAAAATCGCCCATAATTAGAACGTTATTGGGTTGGTTCGTTACGTTATCAACTTTGTCAAGGAAATATGTTAAAGTATCTGATTTAACTGGTGGAGGTAAATATACCGCACAAATGGCAATATCCGAGATAATATTGCCAATTTTTATTTGTACCGATACCCATAAATCTTCACAGTTACTTTCCCATCGCTCAACACGAGCGGATGGAATGTTTCGCAATACAGCTATTAATACTCCTCCACCGTCCATTTTAGTGGATTTGGAACATACACGGTCCCTACGAAAACCTTATATCTAGAATCGAAAATTTCACTGCTAGCAACATCCAGATTTAACCAAGTCTCCGTAAACACTATAACGTCGTAATTATTTACCAATTTTTTTTTAATACGTCAGTTGTTTTCGTTCTCAGACCACGCACGTTTTGATAGTATATTCCAAAGGTGCCTCATACGTGAGTTATTAGGATCTATGTTCAGAGGAGGTTATCGAATCAAGACACTCAATATTTCGAATGAGTATAGCTGGGCTGTACTCATTTCTGCGTAAGAAGACGCGTCCATTACGAACCTATACGAATTTGTAATCTTCCTTCTTGGCCTTGATGCGAGCTGCTGCGTGCAGGGACTTGATAGCTGGTGGTAAGTGCTCAGAGACAAACACAGGCTTTGTCGGACCCGCCATACCAAGATGTTGGGTTGACAGTTTTTCTTTTGGGTTACTTTTGTTAAATTTGGCAACAGCAGCCAACATGGCATCTCGATGTCGGGGGCTGCGGAGCTTAGCAATAACCATGCGAGGCCGGTCACTGTCCTTGTTTAGCTTAGCAACTCGGGTTACATGATAAATATCTTCATCTCCAATAAGGCAGTCAACGGTTTTTGCTATTTGGGTTAAAATGGTTGACAAATTTTCCGTTTTATGTTCTGGTACGCTATTTATTTCCAAATTCGACTCTCTCATATTCTGCTCCGACAGATTGAGTCTTTGGGACAGAGCTTTGACACTTGATTGTAGCGTTTCATTGTCTTTTTTGCAGCCCTGTTATAATAGACGACTTTTCCTGTAATTCAGCCCTCATTTCCTCATATTGCCTGTTAAAGTAAGCAATGGACTCACTAAATTTCGTTACGCGCTCATTTATCGTTTGAAGTTGTACAGTTACCAATTTTTTTTTCGTTCGATCATGAGTGACAATTCCTCACTAATTTTTCGCCGCAGTGATATATATATATATATATATATATATATATATATATATATATATATATATATATATATATATATATATATATATATACGACCCAAATTGAGAGATAGAATAGTTTTTTTGCCCGTGAGTGACCTACGATTTTTTTTTGCGAATTTGAGGATTTTTAATAGGACATGACAAAGCGTCGTCGAAACGGGCAGAACAACGTTTGCTTGGCAAGAGAGTATATATGTGTTTTTAAAAGAAAGCTATACGAACATATCCGTACCAACAAAATTAAGTCCACTTATTTTATATATTTATGGTTATTTGTATATACATTTATTGAGATATATATGCATAAATTTCTATTTTCTTATCAATTATACTATATATAAGATAGTATATATATTAGATACACCTTTATATAAAAAAATAGAAATTTATGCATATAATATATCTCAATAAATGTATGTACAAATAACCATAAATATATAAAATAAGTGGACTTAATTTTGTTGGCTATGGATATGTTCGTATAGTTTTCTTTTAAAAACATTTTTGGCAGGCAATATTTGCAGGAGAACAGGCAACTTGTTCCAGAGAGAGATGGAAGTTACTGTGAAAGAATTTGACATAAACCCAGGATGATTGAGAGGAGTAGACAAGAATAAATTGTGTGAAGAACGGAGATTGAGAGAATGAGTGCCACTACGAATTGTAATCTTTCTTTCAGATAAAGGGGTGATTAGGAATCATTAAGAACTGAAAACAGAGTGTACAAGATTTGAAAATCTTTGCGCTGGCATGTAGTCAACCACTTTAACTTGGAGCGAAATTCTGATACGTCATAGTATTTGCGCAGGCCAAAGATGAATCGTATGCAGTTGTTAAGTAATCTGTCCAACCTGTTTAACAGCTCCTGAGAAATGTTAGATAAACATCGACAAATTCAAATAATGGTAGAATTAGAGATTGAATGAGTAGAAGTTTAGTTAAAGGGGCAGAAAGAACTTAAGAAGATAGATGGCACGAAGTATGCCTGTGACTTTACGACAAACGTCTGACACCTATAACATCCAACTCAGAGACGGGTTAGTAATTAAACCCAGATCCTTGACACTAGTGCGGAATGTCACAATAATCGACGACTACCAATAATGAAAGCCTATCGTATACAGGGATTTACCTTTATACCAAAGCGCTGTAACCAGTCTGAGATGCGTTTTCCTAATCAATAGCTGCAACAGCGGTATCAATTTCAACTGAGGATGCTTGTGAGTATAACTGGAGATCGTCAGCATAGAGGTGGTAATAACATTGAAGGTGGGTAGTTAAAATATTGATATACACCGAAAACTAGAGAGGAGAAAGAATGTCGCCTTACAGTACTCCTAGAAACAGATCGAATAAATCTTGACCAGAACAAACAGCCTGTTCGCGACCGCAAAGATAAGAGGAAAATAAATCCAGTGCTGACGAGGAGAAATTTAGACGCGAAAGTAAGCCAAGGAGTACGTCGTGATCGACACAATTTAAAGCGTTTGAAAAGTCAATAAGGACAAGGACAGTCAAACATAACCTCTCCATGCCCTCTCTGATATCTTCTGTAACTTGAAGTAACGCTGTGGTGGTACTATATCCCGGGCGGAAACCAGACTGATATGTACTAAGGTAGTTGCATTTTGAGATGAAAAAGGTGACTTGTTTGTGTACCAGTGATTCAAGAGTTTTTGAAAGTAACGGCAGCATAAAAATAGGTCTAAAATGGGAAGGTAGCGATGGATTTGGTACTTAAGCAAGGGGTAAGAAAAAAGCTTTTAGCCATAACTTGGGGAAAACACCAATAGAAAGTGAAAAATTGATGATGTAAGTGAGAACTGGAGTAATTATGTCAAGTATCATAGTTCTACTCACCTTATCATAGCCGGTTGCGGAAGATTTTATTGAAAATATGACTTTCTAATATCCTCAACTGAAGTTGAATGAATTACACGATAAAAAAGGCATGGAATTTAGTTCCTAGATAGTCGTAACTTTAGTGGACAAATGCAGACGTGAAGCAGTAGAGAAAAGTATATATATATAAATCATCGAGTGAAATATTTGGGATTAGCGGATTGGAATGTGATTTTCTAAATCCCAGGGGATAAAGGAACTTCCGTATTATATCCGCAAAAGAGAAATTTAAAATATTATTGTGGAAGTAGCGGCGTTTGGCAGTTCTTAAGATAAGTGTGAGAGAGATAGAACATAACAGTTCCGTATTTTAAAAGATCTACGCGTGCCTACATTCATACAGAGGGACAGACCGACTAATTTAAGGGTATTTAATAAAAATATGAACAAGAAACTTACCAAGTATGTCACAAACTTCAAATATTTAATCATCCAATACAGTAACTCCAAATCAAAATCGGTTAATGCGTGCCGAAATAGTCGTAGAGTCCAGAATACAATGAAAAAACCAGGGTCAAACAGAATTAGCCACAAAAAACACAACAGAAAACAAGCGAGTGCATTTTACGAACCGAGGTAAGTGAATTAGCTATCTGAATGAGTAAACCGATTTATTGCAAATAGAAAGTTTGAATGCGGTAGAAAGAAACAATATATTGTACATTTCGTTAAGTTGAGAGGGCTCCGCATTGCTGCCATTTTTTTCTTCTGCTCTCAGAAGCTATGTTGTGCGAACCAAATATAGCAACATCGCGCGTTTAAATTGGGAAAAGTCAAGCGTGCAGTTGTTTAAATTGTGTAAAATTAAATAACTTTTTTATTTAATAAATCATGGGATTTTTCTGCTATTTAAAATTAATCTCGAGATTTGAGGCTTATCCACTTAATTTTTTTGCTATATAAAATCAGTGTAAGTAAATATATAACTCTACCTAATTCCGACCTCTAATCATGATATTTAACATGATTTGCTGAACTAGTGCAAATGGTGTATGACCGTGAATCTTCTAATATAGGGATTTGATAAATGCATGATGGCTTTGACTTTGCGACTCTGAGGTTTGGAGACTCTAATCGCGCTACTGGATGCTAAATTTACATCTGGAATGAAGGGCCGAAAAATGGTGCGGCTACATGTTGTCCCTTCGTATCCGGGTCGAAGAATCAGCAAATGGTGGAACGGTAGTCTCGAGTTCGATTCCCGGGTCGGACTAAAATTTGTTGACATGTAATGGAATTAAACTTGAGCTGTTAGTAGAAAGATGACACAGTAAAGAAAATAAAGAACGGCTCAGGATAATTTAATGGTGCACTTACCGGAGTGGGGGTTCCTAATGCTTCAGCGGCCTCGCGGACGATGCCCCTGGTGTTGCGACTGCGTTGGAAGACACGGTGCGCAACGTTTTGCGATATGCGAAGCGGTTATTTCTAGATTGTCCTGTGGCCGACTGCCGCAGAGGTGCAATCACAGCTAACGTTAGTCTTTGAGTACGATACAAGAGATCGAGTGGTGGCAGAGGTGGTCTTTTTTATTCGTCAACCATCTCCACCTTTCATTTAGGCGGAGCGTGTTTCTTCATAGGCCGAGAAGACAATGGCGGTAGTGAAATGGAATGCACGTAAGGGGCACTGGCTAAACAATAACCAAAACATTAAACAATACCCATTTTTTCGCGCAACGAGTGTCTCCTTTAAGCATTGTGATTAAGATAGCATATCCTCATATTGAAAGAGGCACAGGCCATGCCATGAGAGCGGGATTGCATAGGAAAGGTAAACTAGAGATTGGCTACTGCATTTTCTTCTGAAAATTATAACATCAGCGGTAGCCAACCCAACTGTCAAGCGTGGCATCTTTGGCGAAAACTTCTTATAAGGAAATTTATGGGAGGAAGCCTATCTTAAGTAGAGGATTTCAATTGAGTTGACTTTCTATAAGTATTATTTATTAATTTATAGTATGTGTATTGAAATAAAGTTGGCAACTCGCTTCGCAAGCGTGGGCACTTTGGAAAATATCTCTACTATGAGGAAATCTACGGGAGAGGACAATGAAAAAGGCAAGGTACAATTAATTTACAAGTTATAATGATAAATTGTTAGTCTGTAGAGTAAAATAATCCGAAACTTGATTGTACAAGCTTTTCAGGAACTATAATAAACGTTAATTGCTGGTAGCCTATATCCAGTGCTATATAAATCTGTTCTCCATTGTTAACAGTTTTTAATTCAAACCGTAGCAAATGAAACAATGGTAACCGCTATCATTGTTGTTGAGGAAAGTTCATTTACGTGCCGGATCTGAAAAGAGATTACAAATTCCTATACCTTTAGATTACAATAACCTATACTACGAACTCCCGTAGTCCAATTATTATCCAAATATTTTGGCGCTACTTTATTAAAATTATTTAACGTCATTTATTTGTTAGCATTAATTACCGTTTTAATGCGTAAAAATTTTAACGAGGTAAAATATTTGTATTTTTCTGACAGAAATTTATGTTTATGCGAACTTTCACAACAGAAGTATGCCACAAGTTTTGATATCGTATATTACATGGTGTATATTTGGCGTGAAAAAATCATCGAATTTAAACGTTCTTTCGTGACGACATATCGTTACCGACACCGATATTATCTGGAAGTTGTTTTTCTCTTCACGTATAAAAATATACGGTTGCAGCACGAATGGGTCGGCTCAACTGGGGAAAGATCACGCTCTCACAGAATACCCATGCAATATAGCTGAAATGGGTCCATCCTTTCATAGAAAATCAGCGTAAAATAGCACCTTAATACGACTGTGTTT